TTATGGTACAGTGTTTGAACAAGTTACAATTATTGCTAAAGAATTTTCAAACAAAAATTTAGCTATCCATAATCATTATCAATAAAGCGTCAATCTTAAGTTGAATTTTAACATTTTCTGGGCCAATTTATTGTTTTACATCAAAAAAATTAAGAAAACAATAAATCAGTAATTATAAGCCTATATATGCAAATGAAAAACAAAAATTCTGTTTAAGCAAAAATTTTAACTTCCCGAAGGGCAAGTTATAGTAATCGCAAAAAAATCGAAAATGAAAATTTGTATATATCTTTACTTAGAAAAAATGGATGTATGTGTGTGTGTGTGTGCGGATACAAATTTTCGTCAACGATTTCGGGAACACGGATCAACCGATTTGAATAATTCAAAAAACATTTGATTCGTATTGATTCGTCGATTTTGACGAAGGCAGGTCTAGCCGTTCCAAAGATACGGGGCAAAAAGTGCCGAAAAGGTAACTCAGTTTTTAAGAGAACGGAGCGTCCGATTTTAATAATTCAAAAAACATTTTACTTGTATTGACAAGATGAAGAATTGATTAAATTTCATGAGGGCAGGTCTGGCGGTTTCGGAGATCTAACGAAAAAAGTAAAAAAAAAATGCCATTTGGCGGTCAAAAATGATCATTAGACATATGCACATCAAATTATCAGATATTTTATAGAGATTTTAACAATAAGTATAAATTTTGTTTGCATTCCTATGGGTTCCGTACCAATGTTTATCCGTTGCGCGCGTTATATTTTGTCTCTATGCAGTTAAAGCAGTACGATTGCTTTGAAAAAAAGTTCAGATCTTCCAAAATATGTCAAAATAAAGAAAACCTTTTTTTCTAATTTTTTTTTTCATATTTTTTTCAAAAAGAAGCAATTTTTTGTCCAATTTATAGTTTCTCAAAAATCTAATTTTTTCGAAGTAATTTTTCTTCAAAAATATTATTCGTTTTTTAAAAAAATAATAATTTTTGATACGGGAAGTTCCAGCAATTTGCCTTAAGGCACGATGCCATGCGCCCCACTAGTTGATATTTATGAATTATGTGACTTTCAAGTCAAAGCAGCCTATAATGTTCGCACTTCAGTGTATGAAAATGTTATTTCAGGTTGAAAAGCAAGGATGGCATTAAAAATATTGATATTAGATGTCCTGACAATGTTATAGAATTAAGATTTATGAATTAACACACAAAAATATATAAAAAAATTGGAATGTGATCTGTAAGTTATGCGGGCCCATAAAGAGTTAATTTAGTATTTGGAAATATGGAAATTGATAAAATAAGAAAATATTAATTGATAAAAGATTAAAGAATGATAATAAAGAAAATTTATTTATTATTTATTTAAATTTGAAAAAAAAATTAGACATATTTTAGCAATCGTACTGCTTTAACTGCATAGAGACGAAATATCGAAGCACGTAAGAGACGCGTCGCCGTCTAACGGATAAACATTGGTACGGAACCCATAGGAATGTAAACAAAATTTATATTTATTGTTAAAATCTCTATAAAATAACTGATAATTTGATGTGCATATATGTCTAATGATCATTTTTGACCGCCAGATAGCATTTTAAACTTAAAAAACTGACTTACAGTTTCTGGCACTTTTTGCCCCATATCTTCGGAACTACTAGACCTGCCTTCGCCAAAAACTAATCAGCACGTCTCCTTATGAATACGAATCGAATGTTTTTTGAATTATTCAAAACGCTTCATCCGTGTTCCCGAAATCGGCGACGAAAATTTATATCCGTACACACATACACACACGCACACACATACATACACACACACATACATCCATTTTTTCTAAGGTATGCCAAAATATTCAGAAACCTTTGAAACGTAAAGATATATAAAAATTTTCATTTTCGATTTTTTTGCGATTACTATAACTTGCCCTACTGGAAGTTAATAATGATCTCAACAAGTAATGCATGTACTCGTATTTAGAAAATTATTAAGAATAAAAATGGAACTGTTCATATATAACCATTTAAGCAGTAGTGTTAAGCAACTGTACCAAAACTAATTTAGCAAGACACTAATCATTTCAAATGTCGATACAGTCAATTTTATTCATATATCGGGAAGTTAGATATAAGAGTTGTTAGATATAAATTTTGATTGACAGCATGTACTATTAAAATAACCACCCAATTTTAATTAGTTCAGGAATATTATTAGCATTTTGATAAAGTTGGCCGAATCATTTTCTTCGTTATTCTAGGAGATTATTGTTTAATTCATTGTATTTTTTAATTTTATTTGTTGCTGATTCATTTGGACAAAATATTGTTCAATTTGAAGATCCAAGAACTTATTATTTTTTGCTAAATTTACCAATCTTCAATATAAATGTGACTTGTAATAAAAATCATACTAATTAACTGGTTTTATTAATAGTTTTAATGTTGCATCTCGATCCAATTAAACTAATCAGCATTTTTGCTCACGCTCTATATTTTGAATTTGATTTTTCTTGAAATATTGTTATTACTAGATGATACTATTCATATGCTTGGTAAATTCTATATTGAAAATTTATTTTCATCCTATTGAGAGGTAGAGAGATGGATTTTTTTTTAAAGAAGTGCTGCTCAATACTTTCGTACGAAAATTTCTATTGAAAAAGCATTTTCTTTTTATTTTAATCTCCCTTAAAACTATCCTAAAAAGAAATTTTGTTACGCTTAGCAGAAAAAGTTTATTGACACCTTAAAAGTATTGTTTTATAGAAAAAATATAACTCTCATATATGTTATTTTAGAAGCAGCAACAAGTTAGGTGTAAGCTGCATTTTTGCCTTAAAGCAAGTAGTTAAACTTCCCGATATGTGTAAATAACTGACTTTATGAATAAAAATTAAAATTTGTCAATTTTTAAAATTGTGACAGTATAATTTTGAAATTTTAATGCAGGCAACCAATTCAAACTTTAAAATGTATAATTAAACTATTTTCTGTAAGTTTAAAATATTTTAGGGTGTTCGTTAAGACGATAAACACTATCATCAAAAAAGTTTTATCAAAATGATCAAATTGTTCATCGTCTCCAAATATTCACGAAGAAACGGTCTAGCCGATGTTTACCAAAAACTAATCAACACAATTCGCAATTGATTGGTATAGTTAACGCGCACAAAAAATTGCACTTACTTGCATATTGTGAAGAAACTGCTCGACTGATTGTCGCAAAAATACTAATAAATGCGAGATATACTCGAGTTTTATCGAATGGATTTTTGAATTATCAAAATCGTGCACCGTTTTTGAGAAAAGGTCGACGAAAGGTCAAATTATGGATCGTATACACACACTTACTTCTTCCAAATTTGATCTCATATTACGAGAAAACATAATATTAGCATATCGGAATTTCTGGCGAAAACATAAACTCCTTCTTCGGGATGGTAATAAGTAGAAAATCCAATATTAAAAGTATACATCCAATGAAATTTATCATTGTGACAGAAGGCGTAGCATTTCTTTCGTTTCTTCGCATGCTTAATATTCATAAAACATGTTATGTGATAATTACTAAATTGAAGCATCACAAAGAAGGGAGGTTCTTGATCAGATGGGCCGTGGAAATTCTTTTTGATTTACGATTCGTGTGTAGATAAAATAAAATTCAATCGCTGATGAATTATAAAAATCAGGTCAAGGATATTAATTAATAAACTAGATAATTGTATTGAATTTATAGACAATAATCTAATAGGTGCTGAAGATAAATGTTTTCAAATCCATCATAAGTTCATTGTATAATGCTGCATTATACTATATACGTTTTATAATTAACTTCCCGAAAGAGAAGTTTATGTTTTTATCAAAAAATCCGATTCGCTAATTTTATGTTTTCTCGACGTTTCAAGCCACTCTGAATCGAATGAGCCCAAATTTGGAAAAAGTATGTATGTGTGTGTGAGTGTGTATATGTATGTGAACAGATTTTTTGCCGTAAATCAACGTTTTCTCAAAAATGGCTGGACCGATTTCAAAAATGTAAAAGCCATTCGATGTATCTCGATGAAGGCTACCGTTTGTCAGTTTTGCGCTAGGATCAACCAAGCCGTTTCTTTGTAAATCGCAGAAAAGTGAAAAAATAAAGATAAATGAAATAAAGTGTTAAAAAAAATTTTCGACGATTTTTATGATTATTTTTTTGACGGTAGATACCATAGTCTTATAGATCATAGTAAAATATTACGGCCCTACGACAACTCGTTTAACTTCGTCAAAGTTTATAAATATATCGTTTGTCAGTTTTGTGCGACGATCTGCCGAGCCGTTTCTTTGTAATTTGAAAAAAAGTGTTAATGTTTTCGTTGACATTTAAGCTCCTACTACCGAATTGATTTAAAAAAATCAAAAATAGTTCGAAAACTCTTAGTTGAGAATGATTCTGATTAGTTTTAGGTAAAAATCTACCGAGCCGTTTTCTTGTAATTAACTGTTGAAAAAAAATTATGCCGATTTTTATGAAACTTTTTTTGGCGATATATATCATGGTCTTATAGAACTTACTGAAATATTACGGCCTTACGACAAGTTGTTTAATTTTAAAAATTCATCACAGTTTGAGAAAATGAGTAGTTTTTTTGACGTTTGTTAAAATTAAAATTAGACGATTTACTTGGTATAATGAACATACTAAACTATCGAAGTTCTACGGAAACTGGTTCAATTATAAAAATTATTGATTTTTGAAAATTTGCTTTTAGAAAATACTCCGATTTGACGTGTTTTTTCGTTTTCAACTATGCGTAATAAATCCACTCGGAATACTTATAATCACTCATAAATTAATTTCTTCTTTATTGATTAAGTCGATAATTTACCCATATCAGGAAGTTCATGTAACTTGCCTCAAGGCAAAATACCAATACCAACTAGTTTATATTTTATTTTAAGATAATCTCGTTGTGTTCTGATATTTACACCAGAGAGGAATTGAAGATATAAGTACCAGAGTTTTCAAGCATGATTAGCAAAATCGACGGCAGCGAAGGTAAGTAATAGCTAATAAGGCTAGAGATTTAGCTGCATCATTTATTTTTGACATTAGAATTCGTTTCTGTTCGGAATCTTCGGCATACGAATAGTTAGAAGAAGTGCTTAAAAATTGTGCAAAATATTCTTTCAGAACATTTATTCATATAAAATTTATTTACCTGAAAAAATTGTACTATCAATTGAACTAGATAGTCTAAATCGATATCAAGTTCATTCTGTTTCTCTGAATGTTTAAACCCATTAGTAGTTTCATTTTTTTACAGTTGCATCTTCAAATAACTTTTTCTTTATATCAGTTGATTGTGACTAAATATTGACTGATATGAAGATATTTTTGTCAAATTTTTACGATGATGCATAAAAATCATAAACGACGAGAAAAAGTTATATAAATTTAAAAACTTACAAATACTCAAAAACAGGGATAAGCATTTCCTTTACCGAGAATGAGGTCTTCAGCTACACTTTTGAACTAATTCTGAAATAACATAAGTACCACCTTGTAATTATAATTGATTATCCACAGATACCACAGCTAGGCAATAAAAATCTGTCATATATCTATCAAATAGTAAAAAAATGACTATCCAATTTCTTCCCAAGATGCGTTGGTGGCACCGCCACCTTTTGAAGAAGAATCTTCCGCACGATGCTATTCGGAAGAAGAAGATTATTCGGCCAGTGTCACAGCTATTTTGGAAAGACGAGTAAGTTCCAGGTCAAAGGGCAAGAGGAGGAAGTCTTTTAAAAGTAGCATGGCCAGCAGTCCGGCCAGTGGAGTGAAAAATGGTGGCAGGAGAGAAAGTTCAATAAGTGCGGCAAGTTCAGCAGAGTAAGTCGTATCCAATATTATTTAATATTTAATAGAAATAGTGAAAAAAATTGGTTAAACTTTACAATTATTAAAAGGAAAGTTAGGATTCTTAAAAATATTATAATCAAAATTAGCAATCAAGGCTCGTTTGACTATGCAATAGAATAAGTACAGTAAAATAATCTCTGATTCGAAAACCAATTTACAGCCAAAGTAAATGACAAATATATATAAATTACAGCCAAGTTGATGATAATAGCTCTTGAAATTAGTGTGTCAAATATTTCATCTAAGTGAGTGATATTTAAAACATATCTGAAAATAGAGAGGTTACATAAACTTCAATTTACAAAATGAAGTATTTAATGCAAATTAAATATAAACCGATTTCCAAAGCTAAATGAAAGAAAAACAACTCATTTTATAGTATCAACCGATGCAAAATAAAAAAATTATATTCTGCTTTGTAATAGGTACACATTGCATTTGACATAATATATTTTTAGAGAAAATCATAGGTAAATATAAAATATGAAAAAGCAGCATACTTCTGCAATACAATTTTATTTTTCACAATAAAATAAACTGATAATGATTTCATTTATATCTATCAGAACCGTAGTGTCCATGGAAGAGGAAGTCCCCCAACAAGTAACAGAAGAACAAATTTTCGAAAATATTCGATTACACAAAGAAGTCTTAAGTTCTGTTAAAATGCAACCATGGCCAATGAGAAGAAAACGAAGACTAGCACATCAAGTACGTACTAAAATTATTTTATCATTATAAACTTTTCCAAATTTAGCACAATATAAATTTGCTTTTATATCAGGCAAAAAGTTATGTCGCCCGGCATGAAGATGTTTTGCAGGAAAGATTGGCTTTATCAAGAAGTACCAGGGATATGATGGCTAGAATTAACATTTTTCTAGCGGCGGTAAGTAACAGTTTTCAAATAATAATATCTAATCTAATAAATAATTACAACTAAGCTTGCTAAAACTAAAATTCAACATTTTTTGTACCACCTTTTACGTCCTGTAAATTCATTAACTGACAAAATTCAAGAAAAATGATAATCTTAATTTAAACGTCTATCAAAAACAAAAGAATCTATAACACTTAATTGGTGCTTAATATGTTTAACGTTTAACAAAATACTTAAAAAGTTTAACGTCTATCAAAAACAATTTAATCCACATTAATCCACTATTGGTGCTTAACAAGTCTAAATCTGAAGAGAATAAATAAATTCCGCGATCATGCAAATGTTTGAAATTGAATCAAGGAAGAATAACAATACATTTCACCGACAAATCTCCTTATATCTGAAGTAATATACACCAAGTGTTAATTAAATAATTTAAAGTCAAGTTAGACGATAAAACATGTACCAAGTTTTAATAAATAAATCGAATATTCATACTGGTTCATACTCGCAATTAAAAAAATAATATTACCATATTGCACATTTGGTTCCTCAGACATTTAATTCTTTGCATAACTTTTTTCAGAAATGGAGTCATTGGAAGCGTGAAGCAGCTAATCTAGGAAACTGGCTTGTGCCATGGGAAAGAAGGATCAAAGAAATCGAATCCCATTTTGGATCAGTAGTCGCATCATATTTTACATTCCTGCGTTGGTTGTTTTGGGTCAATATAGTTATAGCAACGGTTTTAACCGTTTTTGTCGTTGTACCTGAGGTACGGCAGGCCACTAAACCTATTAGATATAAATATAATTAACTACATTATTTATTCACTAGATATTAACCGCCGATCCTCAAACATCTGGCGAACGTAAAACAATGATTCCTGAGGAAGAAGCTTCTTCAGGAGATCTCGTTACTCTTTGGGATTTCGAAGGTCCTCTCAAATATTCACCGTTATTTTATGGCTACTACACAAATCGAGAACCTGGTACAGCTCATGGATATCGACTACCTCTGGCTTATTTAGCTACTGGACTTGCTGTCTATATTTATAGCTTTGTTGCAACATTAAGAAAGTAAGTAGAAAATCTTCTTTATTGAATAATCTGAAAAAAATGTGATGCTATGAGTTTGGGTTGCGTAACATATGATCTATCCAATAAAAATTTCTTCCCTTTTTAGAATGGCCGAAAACTCTAGGATGTCAAAGTTATCCAGTAAAGATGATGAATGCATTTTCTCTTGGAAATTGTTTACCGGATGGGATTATATGATAGGGAATGCGGAAACTGCACACAATCGAGTTGCCTCTATAGTACTTGGTTTTAAAGAAGCCTTATTGGAAGAAGCAGAAAGAAATCGAGAACCAAGAAAGTAAGAAGGAAATTCTCAACTTTCAAAATTCTATATTCATTTAATAATATCCAAATATTAGACGATAATTCTTTCTGATCACGCATACATTTGAAAGGAAAAGTCTTTGTAATTAATATTGACTTCTTGAAATTTAATAGTCTTATCGATGAATGTCGTCATTAGCTCATTATGAGTTCAAAGTCAGCATAATTTTAATGTAGTTTATAGAGAGTTTGATAAAATTGTCAATTTGTCACTTTAGTTAATTGATAATGTACTAGTACATACTAGTATAATGTACAAAATTTCTAGCATCGAAATCAGAACTAGTTGGTATTGGTATTTTGCCTTGAGGCAAGTTAAGTGAACTTCCCGCAATGTGCAAATAATCGACTTAATCAATAAAAAATAAATTAATTTATGAGTGATTAAAAGTATTCCGTGAATTTATTATACATAATTGAAAACGAACGAACACGTTAACTCGGAGTATTTTCTGAAAGCAAATTTTCAAGAATCAACCATTTTTATAATTATACCAGTATCCGTAGGACTTTAATAGTTCAGTATGTTTAATAAGACCAGGTACTCTATCATCATACCAAGTAAATCGTCTAATTTTAATTTTGTCAAACGTCAAAAAAACTTCCCTTTTTCTCAAACTTTGATGTATTTTTAAAATTAAATTACTTGTCGTAAGGCCGTAATAATTTAGTAAGTTCTATAAGACCATAGAATATATCGCCAATCAAGTTCCATAAAAATCGGCTTAATTTTTTTTAACAGTTAATTACAAGAAAACAGCTCGGTAGATTTTCATTCAAAACTAATCTGTGTCATTCCCAACTAATGTCGTTCGAACAGTTTTTGATTGACACTTTTTTCCAAATTACAAAGAAACGGCTTGGCAGAGCGCCGCACAAAACTGACAAACGACAGTCCTCATCGAGATACATCATATGGCTTTTAATTTTCTGAAATCGGTTCAGGCATTTTTGAGAGAACTTCGATGAAAGGTCTAATTTTAACAAATGCCAAAAAAATGATACCAATTTTTGCAAACTTTGACAAATTTTTAAAGTTAAACCAATTGTCGTAGGGCCGTAATGTTTTAGTGTGATCTAGAAGACTAGGGTATCTACCGTCAAAAAAAAAAATAAAAATCGTCGAAAAAACATTTTTTAACACTTTATTACAAGAAAACGGCCCGGCCGATCTTTACCAAAAACTAATCAGCGCGATTCCCAACCAATATCTTTCAAACGGTTTTTGAATTTTCATAATCGATTCAGAATTGCGGGCTAAAACGTGGACAAAATTTTTTTCACTTTTCTGCTATTTATAAAGAAACGTCTCGGCCGATCGTCACACAAAACTGACAAACGATAGTTCTTTTAAATTTTTGAAACCGATCCAGCCGTTTTTGAGAAAACGGCGATCTACGGCAAAAAATCTGTTGGTGCACACGCACACACACACATACTTTTTCCAAATCTGGTCTCATTCGATTCAGAATGGCTTGAAATGTCGAGAAAACATAAAATTAGCGAATCGGATATTTTGATGAAAACATAAACTTCTCCTTCGGTAAGTTAATAAAATATCTTTTTACGATTTTCTCGAGATTTCTCTCTATAATAGAAAATAATGTAAAAAAACTATTTATGTACAAAAGGTGATTTGTAATGTACTGTGTCCAACAAGCAGGTGGAAATAGATAGATATCAAAAAAAAAACTGTGCTCCTCCACGTCCAATTTAACGATATATAAATTGCTAGGTGTCTGTATATAATTTCCCTGTGAATTTTCCAATCAAGACACAAGAAAAAGTTAAAACAACACCAGCACGATTTCATTTGATCTATTTTAACTCTAAAACTGTACATACTTTACAATTAATAAATACAAAATACTGCAATTTTTTTCGTAGAATTTTAAATAGTCGTATAGTTCGTATTCCCTTTTCAAACTGTTGATAATGTTCTGATCATATATCAGAAACAAAACGTCTGATGAGATCATATTTATAAGCTTATAGCATGACTAGATAATTTAAGATGACTCATAAGAGCATCTTAGCAGAAAAAGCCTTCTGCCTTTGAATATAATTTACCACAAAACTAGAAAAATATTACTATCCCTCAGCTGGCGAGTACTGCTGGTGAGAGTAGCGGTGAACTTGATGGTAGTAGTCCTACTTGGTGCCTCTGCATATGCTGTCGTCGTGGTAGTCGAACGATCATCAACTGTTAAACCAAACGCTAGTTGGTGGAGAAGAAACGAAATCACTGTCGTTATGTCTTTGATCTCGATCATATTTCCTGTCCTTTTTGAACTTCTGGGATTCTTGGAACGGTTTCATCCTCGGCAGCAACTGAGGCTGCAATTGGCAAGGTAAAGTATTTATTCATAAATTCAATATTTCTAATATAATTGTACAACTGCATCTGGCGTATAAATTAACGCGCATGAGCAAAAATCAATTAAAGCATCCCAAATATCCCATAGACACATAAGCTTCAAGCTAAAGCCATCATTAGCTATAAATAAGATGGCCAAAAAAACTGCAAGGAGGATGTAAATTTTGATTCTAATCTTATATTTATTTTTAATTAATAAAAAATCTTTACCCATCCTATAAAGTTTTATATGGGGCTAAGACACGTTGCGAAAGAAAAAGTAATATGTATCTAATTTCTTTTAATTGAAAAATGTCCTATTGATTTTCGCTATGAAACGTTCGTATTATCAAAAAATATTTAAATATCACGATCTATATTAATTAGGTCATTAAAATGTAATAAAGTATTAGTCTATTTTTATAAATAAATATCCTTTGATTGATTTTTTTTTGTTTTGGTAATGCAAATAAAGTTTTTGATCATCAAATATCTTTAAATGTTAAGAACAATCAAATTTAAAATATATTTAAGAAAATACTATGTACTTATAATAATCATCCTGTGAATTCTATGAAATCATATAATCTTGATTGTTAATATGTACGATCAATAACAGTAGCTAATATATTAATTTCATTAATTTTGTTATAGTTTCCGCGTTATTTTTTGTAATAATAAGATATAAAATGTTTAAAACTTTTAAATGTCATTATAATAATTTAACATATGAAATCTTAAAAAGATTATTTTAGTTTATAAAACAGCTGATAAGCATCTCTGTCTTCTATTTTCTTATATACATACTCAATTATTTACCCGAAAGATTATTATTTAGATATATTTTCATTAATTATAGATATTCTAATATTTTCTTGAATTCGATCACTATTGCATCTTAACAAATCTTTTTTGTCTAACGAAGACAATTTAATAATTTTTATACGAATGTTTATTTTCACATTGATTTCAATTTAGTCTATGTACAAATGTATAGTTAGTAAATATAGTGTTCAAATTCTTTTAGTAATATTATTCATAAATACACTTTGCTTTGAAATGGATCTATTTAATACAAATATATATTTCAAAACTAATATTAAATTTGGTAAAATAAATAATCTGGACAATTCCAATAGCATATTTTCATTCCAAGTTCATCATATTTTGAAGAGGTTTAATATTTGGTTCCAATAAGCATATCTATAAACATTCCACAATGCAATTAAAATAGAGATAATCTGTAAAGTTTTTTCATCCCTGCGACCAATGCAGGTAAAAAAACAGAATAAAAAATATTCTCCTGATATGATTTTATCAGACTAGAGAAAGTGCCACTTTTTTTTCTCTTCAATTTACTTAAATTCAAGTCGAAGCATAAATATATAAAAATCTAGTTTTAAGCTTTAAAAGGCGTCGAGCAAACGTCGAACCAGTTACTTTTGTGTTGCTTGATAATAGTTGATTGTTGTCTTGATTTGGTATTATGTTTAGTTAATTTCATTTTTATCCAGGAATTTAATAAAAAATTAGTTATTCTATTTAAAATATTTTGATCATTTTCACAGGATCATGGTGCTCAATCTTCTTAATTTGTATTCGCTGATCTTTGCGCAGTTCGACAAAATCGAAAACATGACAATTTCTTTAGAACAACTGAGACCTAACATGCCATGGAATCAAGTAACAGAAACAAGTGCGATTTCAACAATTATATTCGCTACAGAAATGACTTACATAAGCACAAACGAAGACAAAAAATTTATGACAACCACCGAAACTACGACTGAAAATCATCATTCTGCTCTTCCAGAAAACATAAATAACACAAATTGTTATGAAGTGCCAGTAGTCTGCAATACATCTCATCATCATGTGGCTCAATTGAAAATGCCATATGATTACGATGATGCAGTATCATCTTCAGAAGAAAACTCTACAACTAATTTGCAAAATTTAACAAATAGTAAACCTAAGTCTAATTTATCCCTCTGGTATAATTTTTATAATGAAAATGTTGATTCATTCAATTACACCTTTGATTATGAAGATTATGAGGTTACTGATCACAACAACACTAACACAGATTTTGATGGTTATAATATTAGCACATTGCTACCATCTTTATATCATGATTACATATCAAAATTTACCAAGTCTCTCGGAGAAACTACCACCGAATTTGATAATACTGCTAACAATGATACAGACCAATTAAAAACATGTTTTATTTTGGTTTGCAACAACATAACATCAGGATTAAATCTTGATTTATCTCGAGCCTCTTTTTTAAGATCAGATGATTTACAATTAGATATAACAACTCCTGAAACTGTTGCGCAAACAAATTCTAAAATAGTTAATAGGAGACCGGAATTAAATATGGAAACGAGAAGAAAACTTCGAAAATTGTGCTGGGAAACTAATTTTGGACAAGAACTGGTTAAACTTACAGTCATGGATTTGGTAATACTTCGTTTTATACATGAAGCATCTAATTCTATTAATATATTTCTAGCCCATAATGAACACTAATTTCATTTAAAATTCTCGGAAACTTTTTAAATTTAAAAGTAGCTCTAGTTCCATCTCATATAGTAAATCATTAAATTTATGGCAGGTGCTGACAACATTCACTACATTGATGGTTGATTTTTTGCGAGCTTTGGCTGTTCGATATATGAATAACTTTTGGTGTTGGGATTTAGAAAAACAATTTCCCCAGGTAAAAAAATGTTTTTATTTTGAAAATTCATAGTGATGTATGAATTTTAATTATTATTTCAGTATGGCGATTTTAAAATAGCAGAAAATATTTTGCATCTAGTAAATAACCAAGGTATGGTGTGGATGGGAATGTTTTTTTCTCCGGGGCTGGCTATATTGAATCTGGTCAAATTAATTTTATTGATGTATCTTCGCTCATGGACCGTCATGACTTGCAATGTGCCTCATGAAGTAGTTTTTAGGTATTTTTGCATATTAAAATTGATTGATAGCAAAAACTATTAACTTAATTTTTAATCTTTTTAAGAGCTTCTCGATCAAACAACTTTTATCTGATGCTCTTGTTGACCATGCTATTCCTGTGCGTTTTACCAGTGGGATACGCAATTGTATGGGTGGAACCATCCTGGCATTGTGGACCATTCTCCAATTATAAAAGGATATACCATCTGTTTACCGAAACACTTCATAATGCACTTCCAAAGTATATCAATATAAAAATCTTAAAATTTGCTGTTCATATAATTTTATTTACACATATTTGTATTTTCAGGTCCTTACATCGATCTTTGGACTACATAGCATCACCAGGGACCATAATACCACTGCTGGTACTTTTAGTATTGATAATTTATTACTTAATATCATTGACGGCTTCATTGAGAGAAGCCAATCAAGATCTGAAGGTATAACTTTTTTAAGCTCTAATACATTTTTATAGTTAATTTTCATTTCACATTATATACATTCCACTTCTCCTTACCTATTACATATTTACGATTAATATTACATATTTTATTTTCCTTGATGGATACTTCTTCCGAAGGCAGGTCCGTGTATTGTGTTAAACTGCAATTCAATCATCAATGGACAAAGTTATAGTACTTTTTTCTGCACACAGTACCGGAAGAAAATTCGAATGCGTTTTACTAGTAAGATGCATATTGCCAATGTAGCTATGCCCGCCGCATTTACATAATGTTGCAGCAATGCCTATTTGAGATCTCAAGTAAAAATTTTATATCTGTATTTATGTTACGTAGTTATATAATTTATTAAAACTCTCCTTCGATAACTCAGGTTGTTGGGTTATAATTTCACCCTTGTAGCTGTGGACTGTATTAAACTCTAATTTGTTTGTATATTATGTATTTGTTGCAGTTCTCATTACAATCACTGATTTGTCACTAAGTTATAATGAAAGAAGATATATTTATGTATTATTTATTATACATGTTGTTTCGCGGACTTTACTTTTAGAAGTGAACAATTAGTCCTATCAAATTATCCGCTACCCCCTCTGCCGGGCAACCAACCCGTGTAAAACTCAATGCCATGAAGATTGTCACTTTCATGGCCAATATAATAAGACGAAAATATGTCCCAACAATATCATACTTCTTGATACGAGCTGATCGAGGTTGCGTTTTTATACTCAATAACTAAATAAATTATAATATGATTCAATAAATTTATAGGGCAAAATACATTATAAATTACCGAATAATACATTATTTAACGCAATAGAAAATAAATTTGTTGCTATTATTTTCTATAAATAATATATACTCATATGTGTGTGTGAGTACAAATGCTCGCATATATGTAGATCTTTAGATCTCTAGAGATCATTACAAATAGTTCGATTTTCTATGCTTTCGCTTTAGTTATGAAAAAGTATATGGTGGTAAAAATGAAAGCGTCATCACCACATTATCTATACAAGACACTATTTGAGGATTTCATTGACATATTTAACTAAAATATTTTATTAAAATTTATAGAGATAAATCATATTCTCAAAACATTTGCAATATTAAATTATTTAATTTAATAGTTTATATAAAACGTTGTATTCAGATTTGCTAAAGTTGCTAGTATGAACACTACGCAGGGATATAATTTACAGCTAAAATTTTACTCAAAACTCATTGTTGATATTTTTTGGTTAAGCACATATTTTAACCAGTTGTAATATTGGTTTTGCAAGATTGAAACATGCTATTTCTACATTTTACGTCTTTGTTAATATAAGTATATATTACATACGAAATAAAGTAGAACAAATTAAATTAAATTAAATATAAAAATTTAATTGTATGAAAATCAGAAAAGTTTTTGTTAAAAAAGAAAAATCATTTTCAAAATAATTAGTAGAAAATGCTACTTAAATAGCTAAATCTTAATTTTTATTTATTAAATTTTAAATATTATTTCCACATTTCGAAAAGTTCATGCAACTGCCAACTACTTAATTTACTCAGTCACAGCCTCAAACAATTCGACATTTCAGAATATATTTTGTTTCTTAAAAATATTGTACGAATTACGATTATACTGCGATCTAACTGGTTATTGGAATGATTTTTGCAATGTTTCTCCTTCATTTTAATCTAGACTCAGAATCTAACTAAAAGGATAAATGTTGATACAAAACGAAGAATTATTACTTTGCATATACCATTTTTATGAACTTGTTAAAATAATTCATGGTTTTTATATGATGATTAGCTCCAATTACGTCGAGAAAGAACTGAAGAACGAAGGAAGATGTTCCGTTTGACTCGATCAGAAGATTCCTTTGATGATGGTAAAGAAAATAACGGTGGTGCTGGAGGTGGTGGCACACAGGCGGACCAATGGCGGAAAGCACTAGCCTTACGGTCACAAATGGCAGGTTCAGGAGTTGGTGGTTTGCAGAAGACTGAGGATGAGCGAAGTGGTATGTACTACTACCATGAAAATAAAATGATTTATTAAGCAACTAGTGGTGTATGGCATCGTGCCTTAAGGCAAATTGCTAATACTTCCCGTACCAGAATTAAATATTCGAGGGAAAAAATTAGTAATCAATAAATATTGATCAACGATTAATAAAAATTGTTTTAAACGTTTTTAAATAGATAATTATAATCACTATATATTTTAACGTTCATAAAATATACAGTGACGATCTTATCGCTCAAAACACTTGAGAAAGTTTACATTAGCAAGATATGCCAAATGAATCCATCTGAGGATATATTTCATACGATTAGAATAACGCATTTAAAATATATACATTTTCAAACTGAAATGTGAATTTAAAATTCATATTTGAAGTCGGTTGATTCGTGCGCCCGAAATCGTGGACGAAAAATTGTATCCAAACATACATACACACACACATACACACATACATCCATTTTTTATAAAGTTTGCCAAAATGTTCAGAAACCTTCAAAACGTGAAGATATGCAAAAATGTTCATTTTCCATTTTTTTGTGATTACTATAACTAACCCTACGGGAAGTTAAAAATGTTATATTTTATAGCATAGCATTTGTTGTCAATATCCACCGAAAATTTTATGTCATCATGAATGAATATGATTTTTTAGAGAACAAATATAATCTACATGAACAGATCAAAAATGTTAAATATGTAACTTACATTTAACTAATATATAACTAAAATTCGCAGTAACGACTTTTTCTTTGGAAACGCAGAAGTTACCGTTCTAAACAACGCGAATTTTGATGCTATATATCATATATAATATTATAGTACATCGCTACAAGACTTTATTCATACATTTCAAAATCAAAATTAACTGGCAAAAATTATGACTTTATTTTTGAGTATAGATCACAAAAGTAAGTAATAAAAATATGAAAACACAATCTGAGATAAATATAATCCTATTTAGAAAAGCAATTCATTGATACAAATATTTTATAAAATATTAATCCTACATAATATCTATAATAATTTTTCTAGAGTATATAGAACAGAAATATATAATTAAATTCATAATAAATATTTATAAAATTCGAAAGATATTTGGATAAAATAGTTGGCTAATGCAAATGTGTACAAAATAGTGGAATAAACAAAATATTATGAATGATTGGAATATTACTATGAGTAATATGCGTAATTCTAATGCAGATTAAACGCGATGCAAAATAATTGTACGAATGAACGTATAATAATTCATCGTAATTCTTAAATCAGTTAAACTATAAATGTGTAGTAAGATATTTGTGATAAATTAATTATCTATATCAATTTAGGTTTGATAAAATAAGTCCTAGGTGCTTTTGCATAAATTAGTTGAATTAAATTAAACATAATTAAATTTGCAATAGTAGCTTGCATATATATTTTTTTGAATTTCTATTATTATGTGAGTGAGTTAACTTGTATTATCAAATTTTATTTACAACATATTTAATTGCAAGTAATAAGTTAACTTTAGTAAAAAAAACAATTTGATATATTTTAACAGATTGATAAAATTTGATAAAAAATCTACTATATTTTATAAAGTCATACTTAATTAAAAGGGGTTATCATAATTGTCGTTTTATAGAATTTTTGGCAAGAATAATGAAGCAAGCTTTTCAAAAAAGTTTCGGCAGTTCCGAAGAAGCTAGTTCTCCACATTATAGAAAAAAATTTGATGCAGTGCAGTTGCAGAAATCGCAAGAAAGTCCAAACAAAAATGGATCTGCCGATAAAGGTAAAATAAAAGACCGAACAATTTTATTCTAAATCTAATTTTAATAAGTCTCTAATTATATAATTGTTATATTTAAATTATCAATATTAAAATAGTGTTTAGAATACGTAAAGTTATTTTCATTATTACAAAATTACATTAAATTATTTATATGAAATTTAAGTAACATCTTTTTTTATTTGCAAAGTTTTATTGTCAATCAAAATAATATACATTTTTTAAGACAATATGCTATTGGTGTTGATGCATTTAAAAGATTATCTCCTATGAGATATCTCTCTTTCATTTATTTTTTGACATTTTATTTAAGATCGTATGGCCATTTTTTTCTGCTTGAGAATTTGAATAAATGAACCAACAATAAATGGATTTTAGGATAAATATCATTCTCGTACGAAAATAAGTAAACTCATATAATTTTTGAATTGATATTTTATATTTAAATTATCAATGTTAAAATAGTGTTTATAATTCGTTAAGTTATTTTCATCAATTCAAAATTGCATTAAACTATTTATATAAAATTTAAATAACATCTGCTTGAGAATTTACACGAATAAACCAACAATAAATAGATTTCAGTACAAATAACATTCTCAAAAAAATTAATCATTATCCTCAGTTATAATATTTCAAGAAAATGCAATACACTTTGCAAAAACATTAACTATAAAACCTCAACGAAATTCCAATAAAATCAGGTGCTTCCAGACAATGCTCTTATTCGATTTGTGCCTTACTTACACGTGCAATTTCTAAATAGTTAATCTAAAATATCTCAATACTACTACTACATTTGTCAATGAAATAGGGATTTAGACAAGAATCAATAAGAGACAGTTTCAATAATAACAATATTTAGCCTCGAATATCCAAAATAATTGTATCTAGTGGCGTCGGAACCGTGTGGGCTGGGTGGTCTTGAAGATGAAAAACTAACCCACTGGCTGCCTACCAAAAAAAAAAATAGGCCACCCATCAAAAATTTGCTTCCGACGCCACTGATTGTATCAGTTTCCCATATAAGTTTTATTCTAATTTGTTAAAATATCAAAAATTAAATTTAAAGAAGGCTAAAGAAATAATCAGCAAATTATCAGTTCAGTACATTGAAATGGAAATCGTATATCGCATGTAGTGTAAAACAAACTTCATACGGTAATGCTAAAATAAACCAAGCTTGAACTTACAACTTCATTGAATTTTTAAAATGCTTTTATGATTATATTGATTATAATTTTTATTATTCTGTCATTTCAGATAATGATTCAAAAGCTAAAAAAGTTCCAGCGCTTAAAAAGTTTATTATGAGAATTCCAATTCACAAAGCTTTAAGAATGAGTCGGACTTCAACCGAAATTGCGGATGCTGAAAATGAAAAATACACCAAAATTGACGAATCTTTGGATGAAATCATAATTAATGAAGACAAAAGCCAAGAAGAGCACGAAAAAGAGAAGCAATTTTCATTTGATAGCTATCCTATTATTACAATCAGCAAGTCAGATAATGAAAAAGACACTGCTGACAAGGACGAAAAACAAGAACAAATTGAGAAATCCATGAAAATTATTGACGAGTACGTAACTTAATTTCATATTATATTTGATTATACACTTAAGATATATATATATATATATATATATATATATATATTTGTCTCCGAAATAATATGGCACATGCATATTTTATCTATGAAGATAAATTCTAGCCAAAGGCGTTTTCGTGATTGTTATGCTATTAAGCTCGTATGGATAATTAATTTAACACATTACAAAATATCAGTATAAAAATATAAACCATTTTCAGTATATTAAAATACTGTAATTATTTTACTATTTCTCACGGCACGTTCGTACAGATCTGACAAAAATAATTATAGGGACCGTGCACGAATGAATATTCGCATGGGAAACGATCGCCCCGGCCTCAGTTTGACAAAATATCAACTTTTTATTCATATATCACAAGTTTTTATGCAGGATTTGCATTAACAGTTTCTGTTCATTCTATTTCGATCAAATGCACGATATTTGAGGAGTTGGTAACCATAGTAATAGAGGATATCGTGTGTTTTTCTTTTTTACTAAATAATGTTGCCGAACTGGAATAAAATAATATTTATATCTATCGTTAAATGACTGCAAAAAATCTGCTACTCTTATCAACTCCTCATTTATGTAGCTTTTGCAATTGCTGGTTATTGAAGTCATTGAGAGCAAGGTGAAGTTTATTTTTCTAACATTTGATTAATTATGATGGGTCCACAAAATCCCTTTATAATTTCTTCCACAATTTAGGTAATTCTGAAAATGGAATCTTCGTCATAAACTGATTAAAATAGAATTTTTGTTATGGTTGCCAACTGATGGTTTTACACTCGGTTAATTTTTGGAAAGAGTAACAAATTGTTCAGTTTCCAAGAAATTTAAAAATTTCTCAAATTTTTCAAAATCCTTCAAATATCTAAAAAAATTTAGTTATTCAATTTTTTATCTGAAATATTGAATATCGGTATTATTAAAATGTTCGAAAATGAACAAAGTTATTTAACATTTAAAGAATTTCATTTCTTTGTAAAATTATATATGTATATTTATAAATAAAGTAAAATAAATAGTCCAGTAAATATATAGTCCAGTCATTTGGGGCAAAAAAAAGGCTGTTGCCTGTACAGTACTCCGAGAATTCTAAATATTGGTAATCTTATAGATTTCGAGGTGCTCTTTACGAACTTCAACTTTGCTACCTCAAATTTTTACGGCAAGTCGCCGCCAATTTTCGGCATCATAAAACAGTTTTTAATTAACTTTCCGTAGGGCAAGTTATAGTAATCTCAAAAAAATCGAAAATGGAAATTTTTATATATCTTTACGTTTCAAAACCTTTTGAACATTTTGGCATACCTTAGAAAAAATGGATGTATGTGTGTGTGTATGTGTGCGTGTGTGTATGTGTGTGCGGATACAAATTTTTGTCGAAAGTTCCAGCAATTTGCCTTAAGACTGGATGCCATGCGCCCCACTAGTTTAATATTTCCTTTCCGGCTAATAAAAGAAGCTATGTACGAATTAAACTAGATAAAATTTCCTACAATTCATTTGAAAACTGATTTTTTGTAAAAACTACTAAATGACTGGACTAATGAGCTATTGTGATTTCAGAAGTTTTCGGTTCAAGATGATCTCAACTTATACAAAGCACAAATCATCTTATATATCTTGAAACCTTAGCTTATCCACATCTCTCATCTGATTAAAATAGTTTTCAAATTAGCCCTAAATTAACTCGTACATAACAAACGCCTTTAAATACCATTGGTATTTGCAGATCCGTAGAATTATTAAAATCTTTAAACAATTCGGAAGAAAACATACTAGACCCAACAAATTCCAGTGACGGAAAATCATTGATGGCACCTGCAGAAAAATCATCGGTGAGATTAGGCCGAAAATTACTAAAAGAATGTAGAAGATGGCAAAAACAAACCAGTGCAGATCAACCAGAAGAGGTCGTTGAGAAATATACGAAGAAATGTGAAGATTCTGAAACTATTGCACCTAATCCTAATGAAAATGAAAGTAAATGCTCAACGGAATCTACTGAAGGTTATCAAGATTCATCATTCGAATAATATCTAATATCGAAGTAAATAATAAGGTTTGCATTAGTAGTATTGTCAACTTATTATGAATAATCCATGAATGTCTATTTGAATGTCTGTAGAGTTGTTTCAATATCAGTTAAAATCGAGATCAATTCAAAATAGAAGGTATTATATTCTTTTTTTTATGTAAATTTCAAATTTATATTCATCACTAATTTTATTAATTAGACATTTATACTTGTTTGTATATGATTAGACTATTAATAAGCGAATTGCTTACAGACACAACTCTATCAGCTCTTGTAACTTTATAAGAATCACTCTATAATCTGCAGAAACGAACTTTCTTGCAATGTTGATATATTTCTATTTAGTACTATCAATTTAATATAAGAACTATAATTTCTATAGTACATGGCTATTGTATAAATATGTAAATAGAACGGAATCATCACTGTTGATTCACAAAGCTCAAAAAAATCACGGAGAAAAAACTTGAGCATACTTTCTACTTTAATGTTAATTCATAATCAACTCCTTGTTATTTCATAGAAAAATCTATATATATATATATATATATATATATATATATATATATACGGTTATGATGAATAACGAAAGCTTCATAGGTATTGTAATTAGAAATATTAATTGTTGGTTGTTTATAAAACATACAATTTTCATTGGTATTATATGGGGGCGTCCAATAATCATGTGAGGTTTTTAGGGAGAGGGGGATTGACAAAAAATCACGAAATATCACGTGGGGGAGGGAGGGGAATGGTAAGATATCACGTGTATTTATTTTTTGACTGAATTAAAGAAAAACCAAACATTTTCAGAAAAAATAAAAAAAATACAATTGTTTCTCGTAACTAAAAATACACGTAACGTTCAGTGGGGGAGGGGGGTTGATTTTAAAGATCACCAAGGGGGAGGGAGGTCCAAAAATCCTTAAAAAATCGATCACGTGATTAATGGACACCCCCTTAACTGTTCACATGGTAGCAGAAAATACGTTATTAGTATCCACGAGTATACTCGTCACGAAATTCTGCCAATTCTCTATGACGAGTATATTCGTCAATCACAATTAACTGGTTAAATAGTAATAAACGCACATATTGTAATCGTAGATTAGCCTTAATAAACAATTATGTAATTTGGCAATATTCGAAGAAAAATGCTCACGATGATATTATGATAATATAAAATTAAATCCGATATAAATAAAATATTTGTGGAAATGAAATATAATATAACCAAATTTTAGGTAAGATAATTAGATTATAATAAAAAATGGAAATAAAATGTTACTATATGGCTTTCTCAATGTTAAATAATTACAGCATTTTCTTTATAGTTTTTTAACTTCCCGTAAGGTAAGTCATTGTAATCGTCCAAAAATCGAAATTGAAAATTTTTACATTTCTTCACGTTTTGAAAGTTTCTGAACATTTTGGCATACTTCAGAAAAAATGATGTATGATGTATGATGTATGTGTGTGTGTGTTTTGTATGTCCGCATTTTTTCGTCCACGTTTTTGGGCGCACGGATCAACCGATTTGAATGATTCAAAAAACATTCGATTCCTATTGATAGGATATGTGTTGATTAGTTTTTGGCAACGGCAGGTTCAACCGTTACAGCGATACAGAGCAAAGAGTGCAGAAAATAGAAATCGAGATTTTGAGAGAACGGAGCATCCGATTTGAATGATCTAAAAAATATTCGTAATGATGGGGAGAAGTGGTGATTAGTTTTTGGCAAAGGCAGGTCCAGCCGTTTCGAAGATACGGAGCAAAATGTACAAAAAATGGCATTTTTTGAGAGAACTAAGCATCTGATTTGAATGATTCAAAAAACTTTTTGCTGGTGTTGGCGAAACAATTGCTTTTGAATTTTTTTTTTTAATTTTTTTTTTATATATCGAAACTAATTCAGATTTTAATTTTAATTCTTGCTAAAATTCTAGAGCTCACTTATATACTTCAAACAAATAATTTTAACTTTGCAATTCAGTTTATATAATTCTTATAAATATTAGACAATGTTACAGTATTTATTTATAACAATCTATTTGAAAACATTTAATATTCCTCGATCATTACGGTACGGTACGGAAAGTTCCAGCAATTTGCCTTAAGGCACGATGCCATGCACCACTAGTACATTTGATGTTGTTGAACTTGAGGGTTCTATGAGCTGATGGTTTGATGATATTACTTAACTGACTATGTCACTTTTTATAGGTAGCATACCAAACATTTGTCCCTTCTCTACGTAATTTCTAAAGTGATGATATTTTATTGATGCAGCAATGCCGGATGAGAGCAATTTTCACTTGAAAACTTATTGCTATCTAAATTTCCAAGTGGAAACCGATGTCACAACTGCATCTGCTGTTACATCAGGTAGCTCCAAGTGGTATCGGACCTCTGATTCAAATCCCATTGCTCTTAATAAAATTGATTTTATTAAAAAAAACTTCGCACAACTTTCAATTAAATGTACATTTAAAAAGATATTTTCACTAGCTATTAGTTGAATCATAACTAATTTATGAAAAATAACTAGGGCATATCCGGGCCCCATTACGAAACAGACCGCACATGGATTCCGATTTTCGTACTTTGAACTTAATTTCTTCGAAGTGATGTGACTGATTCACTCTTAGTAGGTACATTACTCTGCAGAAAAATGTTGATGATGTGAAAGTTACCTTGAATTCAAAACGTACGGTAAATAATGGGACTCTTTAGCAGTAGAATATCATAAACGTAAACAAACAAATTACTATTATTATTCTATTATGCTTATAATAACGTGTAATTTAGTTTACCTATATTTCAAAGTAATGTGGAAGATCAGCGGACGGCATTTGTAAGTGCATTGTGTTGTATATACTTTAATCTTTTTCAGGATTAAAGAATACGGTTTGTTTAGTTCACTTGTTTACAGAAAGAAACGGCTTGGCCGATCTTCGCGCCCAACTGATGACAAGTTTCAACTAATGGATTTCATTTATTTTAAATCGGTGTAGCCATTTTTGAGTACGTCAACAAAATTCAAATTTTAGATTACATACATATGCACACACAAATTAATTTTTTTAATTTTGTTTCAGGCGATTCACAATGACTTAAAACGTCGAGAAAGCAAAAAATTATCACATCGTATTCTTTGAGACTTGTATAAGCTTTATAAACTATCATTGATACAAAGTAACTGATTTTAATTATAATCCATAAAAATTTGTAAATATACATGAAGGAAATTTAGCATTAACGTGATACTTGACTTGTAATTGATCGCTCTCAATAACTCGAGATAAATAAACAAAATTCCATATTAACTGTTAACACAGCATTCCACTGAACATCCGATCGAATATTTGCACAAGATTATAAATACATATACTTAAATTTAAATTAACAAAAAAAAACTAATAAATTTTTCTCCCGTTGAATATGTTTTTTTTTTCATAAATGAATTATAAAAATAATATTGAGATACTAGACTAAATGTGTATATAATATGAACACCAATGCAAGTTATTAATCTTGAAAAAAATTAATGTTGCTTGATTTGAATTAAAAAAATGGAAAAATACTCTCTCATTAGCGTTATCTTAATTTATCACTTTCCCGTTAGCTTGCTTTAATTATACTTCATTAATTATAAATTATATAACATTAAAAATATAACCTGTGGGGTGTATGGCATCGTGCCTTAAGGCAAATTGCTGGAACTTCCCGTACCGTAACGAAATGTTCGCGCAATATTAAATGTTTTCAAATAGATTATTATAAATATTGTAACATTGTCTAACATTTATAAGAATTGTTGAAACAAAATTTTATTTAAATCGGACGCTTAGTTCTCTCAAAAACTGCCATTTTTTACACATTTAGCTCCGTATCTTCGAAATGGCTGGTCCTGCCTTTGCCAAAAACTAATAAACACTTCTCCTAATCATTACTAATTGAATGTTTTTAGATCATTCAAATCGGATGCTCCGTTCTCTCAAAAACTCGATTTCTTTTTTCTGCACTCTTTGCTCTTTATCTCCGTAACTGCTGGACCTGCCTTTGCCAAAAACTAATCAGCTCATCTCCCTATCAATAAGAATCGAATGTTTTTTGAACCATTCAAATAGGTTGATCCGTGCGCCCGAAAACGTGACTGGTAATTTGTATCCGTACATACATACACACACACACAAATACACACACACATCAATTTTTTCTGAAGTATGCCAAAATGTTCAGAAACCTTCAAAACGTCGAGAAATGTAAAAATTTTCAATTTCGATTTTCGGTCCATTACAATAACTTACCCTACGGGAAGTTAAAAAATACGTGGAACTTACATTACATGAGATAATTTTAAAAAATTATTTTAAAAAGTTAGTCGACATTCTCTCAAATAATAGTGATAAGTAACAACAGATAGTTCATAGATAAGGAAATAGTTGAGTGAGATAGTTCATTTATTAACAAAATTAAAAACCAAAACCAAAACCAGTAAATGCTTTTGTTTGCTTGAAATCATTACGAAATTTACACAGTAATTCCCCCAAGCCGACCAGCTTGATGTCAAGTAGTATGATATTATTTTTCACAGAAGATTATAGATCACAAATCTAATCTCAAGTGAAAATAATCTTTTGATAGCTTCGCTGTATATTAATAAAAAAAGTCTAAAATATAGTAGTGTAGTAAAAAATATGCCAAACTAGAGAAGGATAACTAGAAGGTTGCTTTCTAAACAAACCATATGCTCAAGATAGCAAAACAATTATTAAATGCTTTCATAATATGAAGACCTCGTAATTAAAGTAAAATTTGAAAAAATCGTTCATGTTGTCAGACATATATTATTATATAACATATTGTATGTATCAGTGTGAAGATAAACTTCAATAACAGATTTCTGAATCAAAACCATACTATATCAGCACGCCATCTACTCTGTATAATCATCTAATAAGTATTAATAAATTACTTATTTTTTGCATAATTGC